CATCATCTCCATCCTAGTCACACATCATTATCTCCATCCTCGTTACATAGCATTATCTCCATCCTAGTCACACATCATCATCCCCATCCTAGTCACACATAATCATCTCTATCCTCGTCACATAGCATTATCTCCATCCTAGTCACCCATCATCATCTCCATCCTCGTTACACAGCATTATCTCCATCCTAGCCACACATCATCATCCCCATCCTAGTCCCACATCATCATCTCCATCCTAGTCACACATCATCATCTCTGTCCTAGTCACACATCATCATCTCTTTCCTAGTCACGCATCATCATCTCCATCCTAGTCCCACATCATCATCTCCATCCTAGTCACACATCATCTCTATCCTAGTCACATAGCATTATCTCCATCCTAGTCACACATCATCATCTCCATCCACGTCACCCATCATTATCTCCATCCTAGTCACACATCATCATCTCCATCCTAGTCACACATCATCTCCATCCACGTCACACATCATTATCTCTATCCTAGTCCCACATCATCTCCATCCTTGTCACACATCATTATCTCCATCCTAGTGTCACACATCATCATCTCTATCTTAGTCACACATCATCATCTCTATCCTAGTCACACATCATCATCTCTATCCTAGTCACAATAGCATTATCTCCATCCTAGTCACACATCATCATCTCCATCCACGTCACACATCATTATCTCCATCCTAGTCACACATCATCATCTCTATCTTAGCCACATAGCATTATCTCCATCCTAGTCACACATCATCATCTCTATCCTCGTAACATAGCATTATCTCCATCCTAGTCACACATCATCATCTCCATCCTTATCACATAGCATTATCTCTATCCTAGTCACACATCATCATATCTATCCTAGTCAAATAGCATTATCCCCATCCTAGTCACACATCATCATCTCTATCCTAGTCACATAACATTATCTCCATCCTAGTCACGCATCATCATCTCTATCCTAGTCACACATCATTATCTCAATCCTATTCACACATAAACATCTCCATCCTAGTCACACTTCATCATCTCCATCCTAGTCACACATCATCATATCTATCCTAGTCACATATAGCATTATCTCCATCCTAGTCACAAATCATCATCTCCATCCTTGTCACACAGCATTATCTCAATTTAAGTCACACATTATTATATTCATCCTAGTCACACATCATTATTTTATAATAGTCCCACATCATCATCTCAATCCTAGTCACACATCATCATCTCAATCCTAGTCAAACATTATCATCTCCATCCTAGTCACACATCATCATCTCCATCCTAGTCACACATCTCATCTCTATCCTAGTCACATAGCATTATCTCCATCCTAGTCACGCATCATCATCTCCATCCTAGTCACACATCATCATCTCAATCCTAGTCAAACATCATCATCTCCATCCTTGTCACACATCCTTATATCCATCCTAGTCACACATCATCATCTCAATCCTAGTCACACATCATCATCTCTATCCTTGTCACATATGATTATCTCCATCCTTGTCACACATCATTATGTCAATTTAAGTCACACATTATTATATCCATCCTAGTCACACATCATCATCTCCATCCTAGTCCCACATCATAATCTTCATCCTAGTCACACATCATCATCTCTATCCTAGTCACATAGCATTATCTCCACCCTATCACACATAATCATCCCCATCCTAGACACACATCATCATCTCTGTCCTAGTCACACATCATCATCTCCATCCTTATCACATAGCATTATCTCTATCCTAGTATCATCATCTCCATCCACGTCACACATCATTATCTCCATCCTATTCACACATAAACATCCCCATCCTAGTCACACTTCATCATCTCCATCCTAGTCACACATCATCATCTATCATCATCTCCATCCTAGTCACACATCATCATCTCCATCCTTATCACATAGCATTATCTCTATCCTAGTCACACATCATATCTTTCCTAGTCACATAGCATTATCTCCATCCTAGTCACACATCATCATCTCTATCCTAGTCACACATCATTATCTCCATCCTATTCACACATAAACATCTCCATCCTAGTCACACTTCATCATCTCCATCCTAGTCACACATCATCATCTCTATCCTAGTCACATAGCATTATCTCCATCCCAGTCACACATCATCTCCATCCTTGTCACATTTTATAATAGTCACACATCATCATCTCCATCCTAGTCACACACCATTATCTCCATCCTAGTCACACATCATCATCTCTATCCTAGTCTCATAGCATTATCTCCATCCTAGTCACACATCATCAGCTCCATCCTTATCACATAGCATTATCTCTATCCTAGTCACACATCATATCTTTCCTAGTCACATAGCATTATCTCCATCCTAGTCACGCATCATCATCTCCATCCTAGTCCCACATCATCATCTCCATCCTAGTCACACATCATCATCTCTATCCTAGTCACATAGCATTATCTCCATCCTAGTCACACATCATCTCCATCCTTGTCACATTTTATAATAGTCACACATCATCATCTCCATCCTAGTCACACATCATCATCTCAATCCTAGTCACATATCATCATCTCTATCCTAGTCACACATCATCATCTCCATCCTAGTCACACATCATCTCTATCCTAGTCACATAGCATTATCTCCATCCTAGTTACACATCATCTCCATCCTAGTCACACATCATCATCTCTATCCTAGTCACACATCATCATCTCTATCCTAGTCACATATGATTATCTCCATCCTTGTCACACATTATCATAAGCATCCTTGTCACACATCATTATCTCCATCCTAGTTACACATCATCTCCATCTTAGTCACACATCGTTATCTCCATCCTAGTCACACATCATCATCTCTATCCTAGTCACATAGCATTATCTCCATCCTAGTCACGCATCATCATCTCCATCCTAGTCACACATCATCATATCCATCCTAGTCACGCATCATCATCTCCATTCTAGTCACAATTCATTATCTCCATCCTAGTCACACATCTCATCTCTATCCTAGTCACATAGCATTATCTCCATCCTAGTCACACATCATCATCTCCATCCTAGTCACACATCATTATCTCCATCCTAGTCACACATCATCATCTCCATCCTAGTTACACATCATCATCTCTATCCTAGTAACATAGCATTATCTCCATCCTAGTCACGCATCAACATCTCCATCCTAGTCACACATCATCATAATAGTCCCACATCATCATCTCAATCCTAGTCACACATCATCATCTCTATCCTAGTCCCATAGCATTATCTCCATCCTAGTTACACATCATCTCCATCCTAGTCACCCATCATCATCTCTATCCTAGTCACATAGCATTATCTCCATCCTAGTTACACATCATCTCCATCCTAGTCACACATCATCATCTCCATCCTAGTTACACATCATCATCTCTATCCTAGTAACATAGCATTATCTCCATCCTAGTCACGCATCAACATCTCCATCCTAGTCACACATCATCTCCATCCTAGTCACACATCATCATCTCCATCCTAGTCACACATCTCATCTCTATCCTAGTCACATAGCATTATCTCCATCCTAGTCACGCATCATCATCTCCATCCTAGTCACACATCATCATCTCTATCCTAGTCACATAGCATTATCTCCATCCTAGTCACGCATCATCATCTCCATCCTAGTCACACATCATCATCTCCATCCTAGTCACATATCATTATCTCCATCCTAGTCACGCATCATCATCTCCATCCTAGTCACACATCATCATCTCTATCCTAGTCACATAGCATTATCTCCATCCTAGTCACGCATCATCATCTCCATCCTAGTCACACATCATCATCTCCATCCTAGTCAAATATCTATTCCTCCCTGGTTACTTCAACCTAATCACACATCTTTATTTTCACTTTAGTCAAACATCTTCAATCATTCTTGTCGCCCATTTTCATCTCTCTTGAGTTTTAGTTCAACACCCCTCCGGTTCATCCCTTCCGACGAAAATGTTGCCAAAAAAAAATGTAAAGTGACATTTTTTCAGATATAAACCTTCCAAGTGTTTAAGCTGCAGGGAACCTAATTATCTAGAGTAAGACTATGGTGGCTATTCTATGTCACTAAAGTCTGTATCTAGCATGAAGGACATCAAACGTTTAAAATCACCATACAGCTATGCAAAACTTAGAACCGGTATGTATGTTGACAGCTGGTTGACACCAATACAGGACAAGATAGGAACGAGAGCACGAACCTCGTGACATGGAAAAAGGCTCCTGTTATACCGGAAGTCGGTGTCGGACATGCGTTACACCTGCCTACACAGCATACCTGCATGTAGTCTACCATCTGTTGAAATTGGCGGAAAGTACAGAGGGCTAGATGAATAATTTACGTGAGTGCGACGTCTGGTTTGATTGTCGACATATCATTTCTGTATTATCATACATCATTTAATGGAGGACGACATTTTATTCTGAAGGTTGTTTATTTACTATCTCCGCAAAATGAAAGTAAAATAATGTGATGGTATTAAGAGCATGCAATTGCCAATATTTTCAAGAAACCGAAACGAGAAAATAATCGAATCGCGAAAACGCATTGATTCTTTTCAATTTCTATCACAAATTTCCATACAAAACCACATCACATCGTCACTGGCCGATAATCTCGTATAAAATCTCATGTTTTGTAACAGCAGACGACATGCCCTCGTGTTATCCATCATGGCAGGTATCTATCAACATTCCTTTACATACCTGTGCCTATGTCTGTCACGTGATCAATTGATAAATGTATTGATTTTTCTCTACCAAAAACCTCGGTATTCGTGACAGGGTTGTGTTTACAGTGTACAATCGCCGTACATTCGGCTTTAATGATAACGACTGTGTAAACAATTTTAGCGATATGATGACATCACTAGGTAAACGGAGAAGTACATGCGGTTCACAGTATAATAAATTATCTTACCTGCTCCATGGTCGCTGAGTATAAACAAATGTTACTCCTAAGAACTATTCCTGTCGTCACATCATAGATGAGGCAGGACAATGGCTGATGGAGCAGACGGCTACCGAATACCTGCGCAAAGACGGATCCCTCTCCCGTCTGGCGGCCTGCGAATCCAGCGCGGGAACTTCCTCGTGATCGATCGCCTGCCGTCATGGAAACACGAGTGTGGTCGTGTGGACCAACGAGTCTGCGAATTGTTTTGCCGCCAAATCTGGAGTTGTAGCATCCGCGACAGGCGAATTATGACAGTCACGTGTGCTACAACACGTACAATCATATATAAATGTACTAAATTTGTAACCACATATACGTTTGTTATTTAAAATAAGATAGCATGGTCACTGGCCGTTGTAATGACATATTCTAGGGGTACAGAGAGCTTAAGAAGATGACCTTAAGTCTGGTTTGGCGTATCGTAATACGGTTTGCAAGAGTGATCTATTCTAGTTTAAGAATCATTTGTCATATAATAATTAAGACGGATCACATGGGTTTTCTCCCTTAGTTTTAGTGTCATCTGTCAAATAGTCAGACGGTTGACAGGAGTTGTCTCCCGCTACGTCTTTCTGCTGTTAATCATGATCTTCCCAAGCTTTAGCATGATCTGTCACATGGTCAATCGGGAACCGTCGGCACTTTCCGTAAACGAAAGTGCCGACGGTTCCCGATTGTCACATGGTAAGGCGGTTAACGGGGGTTATCTCCCCTAGATTTAGTCTGATTTGTTGTACCCTCATATTAAGACAGTTAACAAAATAACTCCCTGGCATTAGTCTGGTAAGTTGTATGGTGAGACGGTTCAGAGGAGTTGTCTACCTTAGCTTAACCTGAACTGGGCCGTAAAAACAGACGAAACCGGTTATCCACAGAAACAAACAGGCCCCTGTTGGTTAATACAACGGCTACATTGTAGCAGGAGTTATCTCCCATGACGTTAAGATTAAACAAACAAAAAAACAGACACTATATAAATATTTGTCGTAGAACTTATTCTAATCCTCAATGCTTGTGATACATATTTACAATGAACGAATATATTTAAACTTAATGTGAAAGATCATAGAGAAGTAAGGAATCGTAAACCCGAAGTAAAACAGACGACGTTAGACGGAAGTTGTCGAATGAAGAAAACGCTAAGAACTGCTGGACAAAGATCGTACGGTTACTTAAAAATCTAATCAAGGACAGAATGAAAATTGATACAATTTGTAAGGTATCATAAAATATCACCAACATAATATTTGGAAGTAACCTGAGAGGGAATTATAAATTAAATACTTTCTCAGAATATTTCAAGAAAAAAATAGAACGGCAATTAAATTAAATAAAGAATTTGTGGCCGTAAATAAGTTTATCGAGCTAATTAGATATAACATGCAAAATTGTTAAGTCTTTTGTATTTCCTTGAAGTTTTCTTTTACTTGACCAAGACGCTATTTATAATTTGTTTTGTAGAAAGGTCATGTACCACAACCAGTAAGTGTTTATGTGTGAAGTTTCGATGACTAGTACGGTAGGTACCCCTGTTACCTGAATCAGACGAATGACCGGTGAATCGTTTATACACAAAGGTGTAAAATAGGTACGAGTTGGCAATAAAAAATCGACGTCGATTCGGATTCACTATAGTGTATGTACACTTAGTTGTTATACATGTACGAAATGACGATTCAAACTGCTGACAAGTCGGCTCGGCTACTCTTTGTTTAACACGTAATCGTAGACGTGAAGATGATAGAGTACGCTCCGTACTAGTCATCGAAACGTCCCACAAAAAAGATGCTTACTGGTTGTGATACAAAATCTTTCTACAATTCATACCTACCAACCCGAAGAAAATGTCTTAGAAATACTCTATATATAGCATCAATACATTGTATCTACTGTGGCTGAGCCATTGAGACACAGACGCATCAGTCATCTAGTCATAATTCAATCTGGAGAGGTCAGACAAAATGTCACAATCCGTTTGACATTTTCTTTCTGGTAAGATAAGTTACCGCGTCAAATGGACGACAGTCCGTTAGCGCAATTAGCCGAGAAATTGATTTGCTTAGCCGATAGCTGTTCCTTTTCTGTGCTTAAACAGAAAAACGTCTGGTGAAAATTTAATTAGGAGGATTTGTAAAGCGCCATTGATTTGTAATTAGGCGTGTGCCATTCACTGTAAACATAACGTGTTATAAGACTAAGAGATATTATGTGTACCATATGACATGCTTATCTTTGCTACTGATCGATTCTCTGCTAATATCAATCGGCTAACCACGGCTGATTCCGTTACATAACTGATCTCTTCAATATCTCAGCTAACATAGCTGATATCTTCAATATCTCAGCTTATATAACTGATCTCTTCAATATCTCAGCTAACATAGCTGATCCCTTCAATATCTCAGCTAACATAACTGATATCTTGAATATCTCAGCTTACATAACTGATCTCTTCAATTTCTCAGCTAACATAACTGATCCCTTCAATATCTCAGCTAACTAACTGATCTCTTCAATATCTCAGCTTACATAACTGATCTCTTCAGTATCTCAGCTAACATAACTGATCTCTTCAATATCTCAGCTAACTAACTGATCTCTTCAATATCTCAGCTAACATAACTGATCTCTTCAATATCACAGCTAACTAACTGATCTCTTAAATATCTAAACTAACATAGCTTATCTGTTCAATATCACAGCTAACTAACTGATCCCTAAATATCTCAGCTTATATAACTGATCTCTTTAATATCTCAGCTAGCATAGCTGATATCTTCAATATCTCAGCTAACATAACTGATATCCAGTATGCATCGTACCAAATCAGTTCAATAGCCGAAAGCCAGCTAGCATCGCATTATCCATTCAATACCACACCATATACCGGTTTTTAAAATGTCTGTCTAATAGAATCACTCACGTCAAGAACTGAAGTACTCAGAGGTGGGTACTACCACGGGCGATCGAGGCATCGACCCACAGGAGGAAAGTTCGATGAAATATTGAGCAAATCCGGTGGGTTTCCTGTACGTACACATTGTACATACGCTTCCGTTAAATTAGAATATCCCACCGTGGTTTTGTAATCCGCTTTAAATGTCACAAATCTGTCTTCATCTGTTTACCCTACAGTCAGACAGAGCTCCTCGAGTCATGAATATTTTAACAGATCGTAATGGTTTTTAAAAGCACCGTTACAAATGAATGGAGGAATGGAGATAGAAATGGAAAGATTGTTTCATTTGATCAGAATCGGAGATGAGCATTGTCCAGTCTACCATACAATATGACGTAGGGGGCTTGCGGTCGGAAAGAGCATGTGTTAAAATATTTTTGTAAATCAGTCTTTATGAAGCCTTATCTCTGATATATTGGTTTTCAAATCTTATCAGGGTTCCAATTATGGCTTCGTTCCTAATAACCATATACGTCAGAGCCTATTTCTCAAACCAATGGGTAACATACACAACGGAAAGTGATCTATCTATGTCAGATGAATATTAAGCTGAGTGGTGATCGAAGTACAAAAAAGTGAAAAAAAGAGTTACTCGAGTTCGTTTGAAAGTAATCCGTTTATCGGATCTTATGACGCCAGAAATGTATTTTTAATGTTTTACGGACGATGCACGACAGACGAATAGCGATCGCCATTTGAACAAAGGTCAGGTGACCAACAAAAAGTATAATTTCAAACGCAGAACTTATATTGTGGGAGTTGTTGCTGCGTCATTGATATCGCTATGGTACATATGCTGTCGTATCTATTCCTCTTCGCAACATATTGACCTGGAGCAAGACTGAAAACCATAATGATGCCAAATTCCTCAATTTCCAGATATGTAGTTCGGCCCCTATATTAGAAACACTTCGAGTCCACCCCGAAGCTGAGTTGGAGCTGATGATTCCATAGATATTGGACTCGTATGGTGTCAACGAAATTGGGTTAAGAAGCATAAAGTATTCATGAATGTCATGTCGGCATATGCGTACGAGCAACACAGATGTACAAATTGTATGTCATATACCGTGTGTTTCATAATTTACCTCGTAATCTTACATTTCGCTGCCATCACAAAATACTAGAATGCAAATCGGCCAAGTCCAGGTGCCTGTTCTTTTATGCGCAACAATCGGTTTGTCAGTTTTTAAATGTAGCATTTTGCGACATTGTTTCATAATCGAACAACTTTGGTTCAACCGTTTGGATCGCGATAAACGAAAACGGCCCAGTTTATTGAATCATTTCATGTTTACTAATAGTATGTTTTACTCGAAATGAAAAAAATACCGAGACTTTGTTTGCATGGTAGAACGTATTTACGTCAGCATTTATTCGGAAAGCCTTTCGTTTGTGTGTGACGTCGACGGTAAACCATCAATTATCCCGAAAAGCGCACCTAAAATTCCCAAAGCTATTGTGAAAATCCAAGAAACAATAGCGGTATGCATTATATCATACTGATATACATATATCATAATAATTATAATTATTCTTTTGGGAGGAAAGTGAGATCAAGTGAGATCAACGACGGTTCGAGAAAGAAAAAATATACGTCGTTCCGACTAAGCATCTTTGTACACCCACCCAAAATTTGAATTTAGCAGTCAGAAAGGTGGAGTCAATATTTAAACTTCAACAGCCTCCCATCACAAAGTTATAAAACACCAGGGAATTGTATTTTATCGAGAGTTGATCGAAACCCTTTAAACGTCTATTCCATTTCCTACACATCAGGAGATGTCGAAACATGTATATTATGATTTATTTCCTATGCCTGTGTGTCTTTGGTTTTCACTGTCTATTTGAGAGACACCACAGTTGGTGTCAGAAGACACCTATGTCGCGAGGCTATATTCGCCACTGTTACGTAAGTGTAGTATGGTTACTCTCAGTCTTCCCTTTATAAACCTGTTACGGAACTATATACATGAACGAGAGCTGGCCATGTCGTATGTGGCAGTGATCCTGTAATTATGAGAAAAATAAAGTTTACATGCATAGTGTTGACAGGTGATGAGTTAAAAAAAAAGCAGATACAGGAATGCTAAAAAGTTTAGCGAATGTCAGGATTATATTTACAGATTATCACACTGTATTTTCTCATCGCGAGCACGTGGATAAAATCGAGAGGCCACCGCAGGTGGACTCGAGGAATACAGTGACGTAAAACCACGTAGAAAAAATATTTTAAAACAATCGTATCGTCATTGGCTACTCCTGAAATGGTGTTGTAATTCTCACAATATTTTCCCGTAACTTTGTATTGATATGTTTATGACGGACAATTTTCTTACGCGGATCACTTTTTTGTGGACACTATTCCGGTTTCGGACGTCATCGTGCGCGAGCAGCCGTTCTTCTTTTGAGAAAATGCGTTCCCAAGTGCTGGCAAATGGGAAGATCCGTTCTCAAGTTCTTCTCAGGTAGTTCTCAAATCGTAATCAACTTCTTCTCATACTGACAACCAAGGATAATGAATTTCTACTGCTACCGGTAGGTGGTATAAAGTAGTATATAGATTATAATACATGTATATCTAAGCAAGGTATAATTTTGTCCAGCGGAAATTTATCGACAATTGATCATACATCACAAGAAGTCATTGGCTTAACTCGATGTCAACCAGTGATTCAGTGTCGATCGCCGGCGACGAGGCAGAGTGTCCGTCTGGAGTTAGGAGGGTCGCAGGTTCGAACCCAGGACTTACCCGATCATTTTCCCGCTCCCGTTACAGAATTGGCGAACTTTCAAGCATTGGGTGTACGCTTTGCAAGGGATACCCAATTTTGGGTTTTACATTGATGTGTTTTCGGGGCCGGCGACATAGAAAATGAGGGAGGAATGAAGCGAAACTGGACTGGGTCGACCGTCGGCGACCAGGAAGCTCAGTTGGTAGAGCAAGGGTCCCAGGTTCGAACCCCGGTCAAATTTTGGGCGACGCTTAACAAGGGTTTACCCAAACTTGGGTTGTAAATTATTGTTTCTTCGGGGCTGAAGACTTAGAGAAAGGAGGGAGGAAATAGGGGAACCGGACTGGGTCGATCTTCGGCGACCAGGTAGCTCAATTGGTAGAGCGTTCATCTAGAGTTAGGAGGGTCCCGGGTTCGAACCCCGGTCTGGCCATGCTTTTTTCGCTCCTGATGGTAAGGCTTACTAATATCTACGTGGTTGTCGTCAGTGGTAAAGATAGGAATGAGCGTTTCGGGCAGTTAAAGCACGCGCAATGCGTATTCATTGGTGATTGCTTTTGTGTGATTAATGCGCCTATAAGACAGAAGAAAAGTGTATGTTTCATTCCGTACTAATGTTGTTGCTCTTAATAATCAAAACTGACCCGCACTTACATTGTGGGTGATAGTCGCATGCAAAATTATCTCTCCTGTATATCAATTTCATTTAAAACCATCGTCTTGTTTTAATTATTGGGATATTTTCGAAATGTGTCAATATAAATAGATGTTAAAACAAGTTAGTGCAACAAACTTTTGAAACAGAAATCAAAACAATAGTGTCTCATAATTAGCTGTATCGTGTAGACAACGGTTAATTTTTATGGAGCTGCAGAAATATTCCGCGTTAAACGAACTTAAAGGCAGAGTCCAAATTTCACAGTTAACGGAGTTTTGTGACAAATAATTAACAATTTAATCAAGAATATTGTATCCCTCTTTCACGCGTGCACGTTGATTTAAACATTTATTAAGGCACGTGTGAATCGACCTTGTTTAACGCAGATATCGCGCAATTTAGCGACAGTCCGCATTTTAGTGTCGATCAGGCACGTCTGAACCCCTCGATATGCACGTACCGAATATACCAGAGGTCACAGCTTCGGTTCAAATCTGAGCATGCCATTTTATTTTCAAGTTGAAACGGTTACGCAAAAGGGGGCGTTATTTTTGTTTTATTAAACGGGATGAGTAGAAATCATATTTGATAACTAGGAAGTTTAAAATCCAATAAGGTTAACCTAGAAATGATATAGAAACATACATTTGTGGTGGAGTAATAGCAGGCAGTAGGGCGCTGATACCCACAGCCTTATAACTACCACAGTGTATGACGGTGTCGACAATCCGACAGCGCCAATGACAATGTGTATTCTACCATTTAGTTTCTTCTACTGCAATGCAAGATTAATTACTTTGTTGTCTATAAATAGATCGATCGATCCCCACGCTGCCTCCAGAGGTTAGTTTTGACGTAAACTGCACGTGCCAGTACCTTTCTGTGACTTAATCTATAAGTCTTTCCAAATCGCCGACCCTTACGACACATCCTGCATAATAGGATTTAGTTGATATGTCTGTGACAGTATTGGGAAATATTACAATATTACATTATTGCGCTGGATGTCTTCATTAACGATAGGTGTAAGTGGTCATCGAGACGAACGCTTCCACTATGAAAACAGAGTGAACACGTATAAATGCTAAAAATGCGGACAACGTACATCAAAGAGATTCACCCGATGATAAAAAGATGGAAAAAATAGACATTCAATCATTATACGGACTTGCGTATTTGCCTTTATTAAAACGCCCTTTCTTTTCTCCGTCTCTTTTCGTTTCCTCTTTCTGGCCATCAAGCCAACATTTACACGTGTTTGAACCAACTTTTAAAAAACCATTATTAAAGACATTGGTTTCATACAACTCATGATGGCTGCCGTTGCGGTAACTTCCGGTGTTTGTGAACAGCTTGACCTAACACCACACTAACCTACTGGAACGTAAAGATAACAATTGTGGTTTTGTCAAAGAATAGCTAATGTCTTGGTGTTACATTAATATCAGCACTTTATTGAATTCTGAAAGCTAGACTTGTTCACTATTTCCGTTTCTCCTTGCTAGAATCCATTTTTAAGTGAATGAAAGCATTTCGATTTTTACCTGTGTTACATTAAAAAGTCATGCCAATAAAATGCGGGTACGTACATCATACAGAAAACCACTGTGAATACAGACCCTTGACACACTAATCTGTCAAAGTGACCTGTCGCATTGACACTCTAATATACCGACCCTATAGGATACGGGCACACTAACAAATCAAACCTTTTACCAACACATCAGTCTGTCATAGACCGACCCTCTTGGAAACCGACACTCTTATAAATATAACCTTTTAGCAACACAACAGTTTGTCGTATACATGTACCGACCCTCTTGGATACCGACACGCTTAAAATCGAAGCTTTTACAAACACACCAGTCTGTCATAGACCAACACTCTTGCATAACAATAGGTGATCTCATATACTGACCCTCTTACATACCGACACATCAGTCTATCCAGTATCGAGACGTCAGTTTGTTACAGTGGCACTTTCACTTATCAACCGTCTTACAAACTGAACCTCTTACATACCGACATCGCGGGGGTGCTGGCTAACCTGCTCTGTTTTATCTTATTTGAGAAAGCGATACACTATGAACGGATAATTACATAGAAAAGGAGGATTTAATCGTGTTCTCGTGTAGAAATATTTTACGAACATGAGATTTAGTGCTTTATTTATTCATTTTTCAGAATAAATTAGTTCAATTGAAAAACCACCGCGGTATTCACCTGCCTAAGGTCCACACAAAGCCACTTTTATCACCTAAAAGATAAATGTAACAATATGGGAGATCATGTCAGTACATGTACTTAAATTATGAATAATTTTCCCACTAAATGTGTTTATTTTTTACATTACTTGTCGTTATTTACCTGGCGTAGGTCCATCGAATTATGTACCTGGTCGATATTGAATTTCGTCACACGTGCCGTTTATTGACTGTTGATATTACAGCTCCCGAATAGAGTGTCTGCCATTGTTCTCTGATTGGATTAGTGAAAACATGTGGGCCTTGAGAGATAGGTAAACTATTGCAGTGTCGACATGATTGATATTAAATGATAGTTCCACTTGTATGTCAAGTGCTCCACGACAAATGTAAACACATGTCCCTCTCAACGTGTTTTACTTTAAAATAAATTTCTATGCAAATGATTATCGACATTTTGAAAAGAGAAGTACTTAATTATGTTGTGTAGTCATTATGTACACGCCCGAGCCTGCTATATCGTCATTGTTGGCTGTAGACGAGGTTGATAAGTTCCCGGATAAACCCAGACATATGTTACCCATAACACTGAACATTGCTTGCATGTTAGTTGTACATATTGGTGAGAGTTTAATCTTAAGAATGGCTGCCACAGACATTTATAAACATGGAGGCCATGGTCAGCGTCTACATTATGGCTTCAAATGTGTTCGGCTTCTATAGCTAGATAAAAACCCATGGCGAATGAACATTTTCTGTGTGGAATACAAATATTGAAGACAAAATTAAAAAGAGGTCTGGATCTCAGCACACGAAGACCTCTTCAGCCTGGAGCTTTTACCAATCCTCGTAAAGGAAAAAAACAACTTTACGTTCCTGGAAATACGTCGCCGTCAGATTAATTGAGCAACCATGGAGATAACGGAAGCTGCTGACAGTGTTCTGGATGTGAGTATCTCTATAGTGTTGTGTGGACAAGAAATCCCCGGGGGTAGTGAGTGTGGTTGTATGGTGCCGGTACACACAGGTTGTCCAGTTGCCATTGTTGTTGTTTACAGCAGACTTCAATAAATCTAAGTATGGCATACAACATGGTTAATAGGATAACACTAAATCTTTAAAGTAAACATAGAAAAGTAGACTTAGAAAAACGTTTTAAGATATATATACGTATTACCATATCTCTAGTAGACGTTACTATAACAACCTCGACACCATGCGGGCTTGCTGTGAGCTGGAAACAATGAACTTATGCTAAAGGTCATTAGAATTCCAAGTTTACCACTTTTTTCTGAACTCATAAACTAGGTCTGTTAGGAAAAAAAGTGCGAAAATAATGCAAAAATCGTTTTTTAAAACTATCATTGATAAATGAACGGGTCTCGTTCGAATATCTTCTTTTGCATGTTAAAATATCAGTTGAAAGGCGTCAACATGAACGACAAGACCTAACAATGGTCAATTACAGATAATATTCAGCGGGTAGTTTCCTCTGTCGTTACCACGGTTACCTAAGACTATTCAAAATCGTTGTAAATATTGCTTTAGTGGATCAAAGGTCAGCAGGGGTTAAGCAATACGTCATCACAAAAAGTGTAAGCTACAGAGTGCGAGACTCACAAATATGGTAACGAGCGTAGATGATCGATATTGACCATATCATTGACCCTAAGTGGAGGACACAGGGGAAAGCTCCCGATTCTAAAGAAGCCCGCAAGTGTGAATATTGTGTGGGTTCTTGATTTGCCCACACTGTTACCGTGGTAACATAAGGTATGTTTTAACACTATCGTCACCGTGGTAACATAATGTTGTTTCACTAAGAAATATACCACTATCGTTACCGTGGTAACATAATGTTGTTTCACAAAGAATATACCACTATCGTTACTGTGGTAATATAAAGTTATGTTAATAACGATTAACCACCATCGTCACCGTGGTAACATAAGGTTATATTTAATGGTTATTTTTATTTTATTTCGGCGTTCAGACTGTAATTTTTTCTGATTTAAAATAATATAACTCTTACCTGGTGTATAATGTTAAAACCTTTTAAGATACCATTAACTCGAGTGTATTACTGGGCACACGCAAACTGTTATGTATGTGATGATAGCGTGCGTTTCGCCAATCAGATAGCCTTGGTGAACATATCTTTGCGTGAATGTCTATTGATCACGTTGTTTCCTTGTTTCCGGCGTCGTAAAAGTGAATGTTTATCAAAGTAGATTATAATGCACAAGTTTGGCGTGACAACAGATTACTAAGTAAATTAGCACTTAACCATGGTTCATGTGACTAGTCGTTATTGTCATACAATGCCATTTTCAAAAGGGAGTTGTATAATAAAAGAGCATGTCTGGTTTATAGATTCCGGAAGCTTCGCACTTGTGATGTTTTTTTTTTATTCAAAATAATATTGTTTGTAACGCCTCATGCGCTGATTCGGTTGTTATTATTTTATATCTACCATTGCATGGGGCAACTCTTTATCAACAAACAATCAGATGACATTCACATTGGCTATGAATGTAATTTCACAATTGCTCACGTGACCATTATTGTTTCTAGTTTGGGTTGTAACGTGCATTGCGCACCCATCAACGACAAGTACATGAGACTTTTGAATCATGTTATTAAAAAAACCTCGAACAACGGGACTAAAAGGGTTAATATTAGCACTTAGCTACTTTTAACTTTCACCTAAAGGCAATATGATCGAATAAGAGCGGATTTGATGAAGTGTTTCTAGACAAAGATAAATTCATTGTATTTAAATCCAAACAACAACAAACAAGATTTTATTGTAACTGAGACCGTTACAAAAGTCCACCAATCTGTTGCTGTAGTCGCAAAAAAATGCACTAGAAAGCATTCCAATGGTCAAAATACACTTGCAAACGAAGTTTGAGCATAAATCAGAAAAAGAAAGGGACGGTTGGCATCACCTTGGCGTACACCCACAATTGTGTCAACCAATCAGAGGCTACAGCGGCCATGTTTGAAGACCGATCAGAAAATGAAACGTATTATGCATATCTACACATGTCCACCAATGAGCTAGTGCAGTTTCATAACGTTAAGTATCCTATCAGCAATTTCTGAGAAAATCGAAGGGGGGGGGGGGGGGGGAGAAAAACTCTGTATAGGAGGAAATACTCGATTGGTGGACATTGGTGGACTTGGAACTCCATTTTACATTTCTGGATAGTTTATCTATGAATATGATAGACGTTCATAAAACCTCTTCACCACATGGTGGAATTTCTGTTTTTGCGGGAACAAGGTCGTGTTTTCTATGGTAACTAGTTCCGTCAGGCGCGTCTGACGTCAACCATTTGGAATTTTCCGTCATAATTGACGTCACGTTATGTGTAATCTCGGATCACCCTAACAGAAAGACGGGAAGAAATCAACAGTTTTCGATTAAGAAAATGTTAAAAGGTAACAGTTCTTCCTGTTTCTGGTTGGTAAGTGTATCTACCGGAAATGTAAATATGACTTAGGCTAATTGCCTATGAATGCAAACTCAAAGTAGCTCCAGGCTTATATATTGTGGTTATTTCGAAGGGGGAAATTGAATGGTTGGTGATATAAAGGATTCAAAAGTAAATACATGAATGTGTGATAGGGATGATAAACTTATATCCCGTTTATCACCAATTGTTAAAATTGTACCATGGGTTATGCGAAGAAGGACACTGTATTGAGAGTTAGGCAAACCTCACCTGACTCTGAACTATTTACAATTTTCTGCTGATATTGATCGTTTATCGCCCAATACTGGCCTAATAGTGTAGTTACATCCGCCCAATTTACCAACTTGTAACAGACAAGAAAAGTGGATGGCATCTATTAATGAAAAATATCATTTCAGGAATTGTTACTATGGTATAAAATATATTGTTTTTGTCTACTTCCGGACCCGTTTTAAGTACAGTGACGTTATGGGACCGAAATGAGAAAAGTGTCATGGCTGACATTCATGGTTTTGTCAAGCTCATCAAGGCCATCTAACAACACTAACACGACATAATAGAACTAAAACATCACAGTCGGTACCGATTGTTTGCATTCTGGGTTAGTTTAGTTTTATTTTGTTTAACATCCTATTAACAGCTAAAGCCATTTAATGACGCTGTTTGCATTCGATGTGACCATAAAAACTTCTTTCGTTATTGACTCATTAACATGCTATTCACCGTTTTCTAGACCTCTATATGTCATTGATTTGTAAATGCTAATCCGCAAAAACAGTCCTGAAAACAGATAACAAATTAAAACTGTTGAACGATAAAAAATGTTTTAATGAACTTGGCATTTTTGAAATAAACCAAATTTGATTTCAAACGCTACGTTTTTTGATACCCGAGAATCTTCATGCCAAATATCGTCATCCTAGCACAAATGCGGAATGATTTATTTCAAAATGAGTTTCATTGTAGCAAAAACTAATCTGGAAGCTTCGGCAATATATATTTAATGTGCAGAAAGAAGTAAAATATGGCGTCAGCTGTCAAGGAGTGTAAGCAGGCAGTACCCAAATCGGATAACTTTTTAGCAAAAATACTTATAAATCAATAAATGTGTCAACAAATCAGTTATAACAATGATGTAGCCTTAGAACAGATAGCCATGCACCATTTTTTTGTGTCTACAGATTGTTAGTTTTTAAAAGTTCAAATAGCACCAGAAAACGTAATTCAAACTCTAGTTTTGATTACGTTTTTAAAAAATGGCACATGCGACGACCATGCATTCTGTTTCGGACTATAGGAATAAATTCACACTATAGAAATACTTGTTGTCATATAAATTCGAAAGGTCATCAAACAATTTTAATAAAAAGTGTAAGATACTGCAAAATTCAGGCCTTGAAGTTAGCCTCGGGTGCTGATTTCGTTTGTAAGAACACTCATCGATATTCTTCCTTTGATACAACCATAAATGAATATAATTCCTCCTCAAAATTTTCAATAAATGAATAAAATGATGGTTCGGTGTACCGATTTGGGTACTGTCACCTTAACAGAAAAAAGTAGCTGAACGAGATAGAAACATCTCGCACTGGATTTGGGTGAGATTTCGTTGATGGAGGTGGGAGATTATCAGGTCACAGTCTTTCTCTAAAATCTACTGAAATGAAAAGTACATGTTTCAACGAAATAGCTTACACACGTGACAAAAGACATTGCAAGAAAAAGAAAGAGCAAAAAATATAGCATGTCTATTTAACAAGTCCTTTTCAAAGTAATAATTTCGATAATGCAATACAGTGTACTGTTTCTGAAAAATTGATTTCTACGAGCCTTCCTGTAATAAAAATGAATTTAGTTTTCAGTAAGGATCTCGTAAGAAGAAGCTTCGAGAAATATATTGTGTTTGCAACTAGTTTTTAAATGTCTTTCCTCGGGCGAATATAAGCAATATGTACGTCATTGCATGCGAAGCATTGACGTATCAGCATCATCAGTAGAACGCTAGCGTGCGTTTTTTAATGTATGATGTCATCGCCGAAAACCATGTTACAGTTCCTATACATGTCCTACTTTGATTGATGCGTGCTGCACAAAAAGTCACATTGCCATTTGTTGAAGGTCACCTTCGCCATTATACGTGTGACCGATCTTCTATCCTTGACGACGAACGAGCCCTAGGCGACATGCTGTAGGCGGCATCCAGCGGCATTGCAACTGTAGACTGTCAAATAAATCAATGGTAAAGCAGGTCAAACAAATACCAGGCTGACAACGATAACTACAGCAATATTCAATCGTTATATAATGAAACACCGTTATGGCAGTTGAATTGTATTATCGTCCGGTTGCAAATTGCCAAATGAGGCGTTCAGATTTACGAGTAATAAACAATACATATGAATTGTTTTAATTGTGTATTGTTCCGTACGAGTCTCACCAACAAAAAACAGACAATGTGGGTATATT